TCAGTGGAATCTAATAGTCTTCTCACTAGTGCTTTTGACGTGGCTAAGAATAGATTATGTAGACATTGTGTAGTGAACTCTATGATATCTTCGCAATATTCCAATTTAAAGAAACCATCCTTAGGCATTTTGGGAAATTCTGAAGTCTTGAGTAATTTCTTAAGATATGGTTCGTTCATCTGATCGCCTAGAGGTGAACGTATGAGCTCTAGCTCACTAATGTACAGACTGATTTGGATAAGTTTGTCTTCCTCATCATCACCGCAATCGCTGATCGCTTGGTCATATCGTCGTCTGAGCTCCGCATTCACTAGCGGCATGCGACGCTCTGGCTGTTGATGATGTATGCCTACCCTCATCTTGTACAGAGTTGGTATGGGCACCGGTGCTGTTTGTTCCTATTTGGACACAAACCGACTCACCAGAACATGATTGCCTTGACAGATATTCTTGTTTATTTCTAGACGCATTGCTGACGCTACGATGGGTACCCCCGCCGGTGTAGGTTGACCCGAACTACTGCCTGGGCTTGCCTCCCCCATTGGGCTGACTCCCACGTCACCCGCACCTTCACCACCTCCACCCCCATTGTACACGCTTGTTTTGGTTGCTATTGGCTTTTTCAGAAGTCTGTGTTGGTGTGTGGGTGTTAGTAGATTATTACTAAAGACTCTGATTATGTTTTGTGCGAAAGCGCGCGCTTCACCCCCCCCGTCTTTAGTAATAAGTCAATAAAAGAAATAAAATTTGGATTTATTTTACTTACTTTTATGTTGTTGTTGCTTTGCTGCACTTCCGCAGGAAGTGTTTACCGTGCTGACTGGCTCGGTAGCTTGTTGCGTTGTCCCCTATATTCATGAGGGGTGAAAACGGTATTTGTTAGTCAAGCTTATTCCGTCACCTGTGACGATACTTGTGCTTATTCCGTCACGTGAGAACCTATTGTCACTAGTGTTATTTCGTCATGTGAGAAACAATTTTCTCACATGTGATGTTAATGAGATGTTTGGTCCTAGTGACGTCACCTGGAGAAGTTCGGTCCTGGATGTCACTTAGGAAGTTCGGTCCTATCTCTGACTGTGATTCAGACACTCGTGTAAGTTCGGTCTTATTTGGAACTGGAATCTTTACCTTATTGTTTGTGACGGGCCACAAGGTTCGAACAGGCTCTTGTCGTGCTTGATTTAGGTGTGGTTGTACCCTTGTTCTTGTGATCAATAGGTGTGATTTTTTGTTGTTGAGTGTATATGTCTCGAAGATCACTTAGATGGATTATGTTACGCTTGATTTAGACGTGGTTGTACCCTTATTCCTGTGATCAATAGGTGTGATTTTTTCTTGGTGAGTGTATATTTCTCGAAGATCACTTAGATAAAATGCGTTACGCCTAGACACGGCTTTTAGATGTTGGATCCAGCGTGTGCTAGTCTGTGTGTTGCGTGTCTCAATAGCTTCCCGTACTGTCGGGTGTTTGTAGCACTTGTGTGCGTGCTTCCTTTTATTTTTGAACTAATTGTTCTTGGGTTATTGACTTGAATGTTTTATTCTTGTCCGATTGTCGTGATTTGACTGATATACGTTAGTATCATCTTGTCGATGTCCCCATTCTTCAATTTGACACAGGATGTGTCAGGAATGTTTTTGGGTTATCAGTAATGGTTATAATGTTTTGTTGTTGATCACTAGAATGTTCGTTCTCGATTTTTTTCGCACGTGTATTTGTCGTGCTATCGTGATCTATTATCTGTCTTGTGTGATTTCTATTAATGTCGTACTCATAAACTGATGACCATCGATGTAATTGATACTCCTAATTTGAATCGTTCTGATTCAGGATTCCATCTGCTTAGGTCTTTGTTTACTCGACTATTTGTAGGTCTATTATTGTCTTATAATCACTTTAGTTATTCAATACTGCTGAATTACATGTGGCTCAGCCTGTGTCCCCGGGTTTGATCAATGCCTCTTTTCGTTAAATCTGATCGATTTGAGGACCCTTTTTTGTGACTTATGGCTGTGCGCCTATGTCTTATTTTTGTGGTGTCAACCTTGTTGCACTAGTTATTATTAAGTGACCGATTGTGAGATCCTCTGATATTTGAAGATCCTCACCTCTGAATGATTTGTGGCGTTATGTCTTTCTATTCTTTGTATGGTGCCTTTACTCAGCGTTTGTTTTTCTGGGTGCTTTCCCACGTTATGCAGGTCTATGATTTGGATCACTGTACTAACATTTAGCGCTTTAATACCCAGTATGTGCTTCCTTGATCAGATCGCTATGATTTCTGACCTACGTGTGCTCATGCGTTGTGAATTTGTTTATACGTCAACTTGTTTCAGTTGATTGTTGTAGTTACTTCGTGTTTGTGATTGTAAGTCACTGTAGATGGCTGTTGTTTGTGTGTAGCACTCCATCGATCTGATTTATCTCGTGTCCCTGTGAGATTGAGATTTAATGTTGGTGCAATATTCGATCTCTGCGATCTTGCTCTATGCGGTGTGTTTAACAAGGTATGAATGCTTTGTTATGGTTTGTGTGTGCCGATTGTGCGTATATGCATTTGTCTATGCTTTCGTAGTGTGTATGTATACGTTTGTTTATATGTTCATAGTTGGTCTGAATTGGCGGTGTTGTTTGTTCTGTGGCTGCTGCTATTGTTTTGTATACGCAAACTGAGTGAAATAGTTAGTGTCTTTTTAGTGCACATTACATCAGATTATTTTCTTGCTCGAAAACCTAGAAAATTCTTCTAGTTGATGGAATGATCACTGTGACAGCTTACGCCTTTTTCATTGTTTTAGCCTTCCTATCTAGCAACTCTTCATTGAAACACGTCACACTGGGATACCCTCTTCCACTATATATGTTTGTGAACACGTTGTTCTCACCTGTGTTTTCTGAACACCACCTTCATATCCGATACAGTTATATACACGATTACCTTGCTTATCATTCCTCTAAAAACCCTAAAAAAATCTTATTACTTCGTGTACACCCTGTTGTTAATTTCTGTTTGTTGTAAGTCTTCGTTTCTCTTATCCTTTGCGGTTCGAGTCTTCCTTACTTCCCTGTTGGCGCTTTTCTGCCGGTCCAGCCTCTTCTCTCTGTTATTGTAACTATTAGTTGGATAGTTCTAATAAAGTTTTCGATTTTGAGTTGGCCTTGACAAGGCACTTATTGGGTTAGTTCCCTCTTGCTTTCCTCTTAATTATAGAGTGTAAGTTGCTAGACTTATCTAGTAAGGATATTGTAAAAAATGTAGGGTATGGAGAGTAGCTGAAAGGTACGAGACAATAGGATACAATAGACCACTTCTCAAGTACGGTTTTCTCAGCTAGGAAAAATCCCTAGTCTGAGAGAACCGAACTGAGTCGTTATTTGTGTTTTCACTAGACTCATGATTTACTTGAGTGTTTCTCTGACACGCAGGAGTCCCGTTATATCTCACCGGTTCTATCGCTAATATTTCTGATGACTCTAATATCAGAAATATTCCGATCCTAATTCCAAAACTCAGTATTTGATTATTCTTGGATTTGGGATTTGGATTGGCTTTTTGATAATCTGGTCCCTAGATGCTACATCAGCAACCATTGTCAGCAATATTATGACTTTGATACGCAATATAAAGATACGTTGCATCAAATATTGATAAGTACTTAAACCTCATAGTATTCGGCTCAGATGAGATTTCAAAATCAGAAGCTTAAATACAATTTTAAATACAGTTATGGTAGGAAGACATAGTGCTAACGGGTAAAGCTTGGACTTTGATAAATGAACGTGGGCTTTAAATTCGTGGAGATGGTCAATGGCACAGGTTTGAGCAATGTTGTGAACAATATCAAGATTCAATCTAGAAAGTACTATGAAGCGATAACCGATGTATATGAGTCACTCTAGAGCCGGAGGGATACAATTACAAGCTAGTGCACATAATTTCTATTGGTTTGCAGTATTCAGCACGGTCCGCTAAATTTATACATGAACTTAGCTAACTCATAAATTTGACGGCAGCTCCGTAGACCCGTTCGTCGGATATGAAATATCTGTTCCACGTCTCTATAATTGGGGTGACAGCAACAAATACCAACCTACTGAATGGGGCATCGATTTGTCAGAATTATATTTTATTGTACAAGTTCTTCTGATACAATATGGGCGCAACAGTTTGTACTGGTGTGATCGAACCACCCTGGCATACTCAGTTTCATAGTCAGATTTGATGTTTGTCAACTTCATGCTGGTTTCACAGAGGTCATATAATATAGCGACGGTGCAGTAACCCCGCAGTGATTGAAATCGACTATATTTCTCGAGAGAAATAGAACTGAATATTATACGCGGCAGTTCATACCGCGCATACATACAACGGACCGAACGCATACTCTTATCAGGCATAATATTTCAACACGTGGCATAATTTTAGTTCGTTTTTCACAACGTCTAAAGAAATGAACTTCAGGGCTCATTTTGAGGTATATATGCCTCCAGGTCAGATATACTTTGGCAATTATGAGAACTCACATCCGACTACAGAAATGTATGCCAATTCATGACGTTCAGAAAACCAAATAACAACTACCTTCGAACAAATTTGAATCATATATTGAGTTATTTAGTTGTTCAAATTTTGGGCAGCTCAAAATCTCTAGCAATTCACATATCACCGTGCTATCATTGGCTTGATAAACTTTCATTCTATCTGGCGTATTGATACTAAACTTATAGAGTTGATTAGTTGTTCCAATTTTGGGCCGCTCGAGATAGCTCTTGCAATTCGCATATTAACGTGGCATCAGTGACTTGAAAAACTTTCATTCTATCTGGCGTATTGCTACTTTCTAAGTATGAGTATGGAAAAACGAGCATCACAAATACAACATTGATAATGCCACCTTCTCAATGGGTTGTGCAGTATATGACACGGTTTGAAACATCTCGACATCATCCAAATGTCATAAAAAAAGGAAAGGTCAATTAAACTATGCGGTGGAAGGTGAATTAAAATTTTACGTTGCCTCTTCACTTACTGATGACAGTCCCGACAATGGTCTGTAACGGATGCCATCTAACATCAAAATTCTCCATAAGAAGTGGTTGAACAAGCACAGGAATGGTTAAGCTTTATCTCAAAGTCTTCTAACACATTTCCCGTTCGAGACTGAAGATTCATTCTCCGTGGAGGTCATCGATCGCCCCACGTGCATAGCAAATAACTGACAGTCATACACGCCCGCACCACTCCGCATAATACTATTCCCCAGCGTATGCATAGGTGTCTCCACTATGGCACCTTGCGATGCATTTGTACCCGACTTAACTACTCATAAAAATACTAGGCGCCTCCACTTCTGTCGACCACAGGGGCAGACTCGAAAGCATACCATGGTATTTCTTCCTTGAAATTTGACTTTTAATGTTGTGATTAAAGCTGATCTTTCAAACACGTACTTTGCCGGGGGTGTAGTTTTTGTTGATAGCTTTTTCTTGTAAAAACATATGCAGACATCGTTCATTCTGAGCCAACGGGTGTCCGGCAATCCTGAAGCAGCATAAAAACACAAATTAGTCTTTGTTCATGTTGAATTTAATTTAGGACAATGTTTGAACTATTCAATATTAATTTTCAGCCTATGGCGGCGTTGTGGATATCTTGACGTCAACGAAAGACTCGAAGCACACAACTAAATCGAATACTTTATTGTGGCGCGTACCAATACAAGCATTATATATTTCCAGGAATCAGCCAATTAGCTCAACCAACAGGACCGACATGAGCCAAGGCATTCTGGTAGGGCCAATTGCAAGTGAACGACACGTACTACAATGTGCAACGATTAAATGCAGCCCAACGTGAAGCACAAAACGCAACAAACTGATAGCAACCACACACACACACACTTACTTGTTTATAAACACCTCTAAAGCATTCTTGCGCTTCTCAACGAAGTCGTCATCAAAGATACCATCGTCTTTAGTCCAGAAATTAATTTGCTTTGAGATTGCCTTAGTGGGCAAAGGTGGCACAACAATTTTGCCTTCTCGCTCCAACTCAGTCTTAAGCCATTCGAAGTCGCTATATCGTCTTCTGCACACAAACTCTTTGTGCTTGAAGATCGGTAGGTTCGTCTGTGAATTCACAACGTAAGCAGCCGTAAGCAGAAAGTGACGTACAAGGTCAATTGCGCTGCTCGAACAAGAAGTTAAACAAACCCATAAACACTTTATAACTTTACGTATGTGTGCCGCCAAAAAAACCCCCCCATTCGTTTGCTATAGTAACAGTGTATCATCAGAATACGAGCACAAAAAATATTTGTAATACACATAAAACGAATTCCGACTAAGAAGATGTTTGTAAACCACATACACATATACTTGAGAACAACTACCAATAAATACTCGGATAAACTTTCATATATTCACCAAAGGAGAAAACAGATACACATGTACAACACACGTGTGTATTTATATCCTTCAATAAATATTATTCAATATCGAAAGTTTGTATGCATGTACATGCGTGTTAATATATACATATATCAATAATACACGTATTATGCATGTACATATATACTTTGTAAGATGAAAAAGTCATTCACACATGGTTTATCTCACGTCGATATACATACTCCGCTTCTCAAAGGAAATTGACAAGCGCCATTGGAGACACCTACGATTAATTCAATGATGTATGCAATAATCGAAATGATATACAAAAGTTTTCACACACACACACACAAACACACACACCAACACACACACACACACCAAAACACACACACACACATAAATATATATATTCACACATATACATACACACGTATATACACACAAACTATATATACATACATATATATATATATATATATATATATATATATATTATATATACACACACACGTACACACACGTATATACACAACACACTATATATATATATATATATATATATATAAATATACATAATCACACACATTCACACACACGTATACACACACTTAGGTACACATACACACACACATACATATAGTCCCACACTCACATACTCACACAGGCACACACAGGCACACACAGGCACACACAGGCACACAGACAGTACATACATCCATATATATATATATAATTATATTGATTATTATAATATATATATTTAA